CTCTGTTTGGAGAATTTATACTCTTGACATCTGGCAACCCAGAGCAGGAAAGAAAGTGGAGGGTCGTTACCAATGCAAGATAATGGAAATGTCAAATTGTCAAAGTTTTTCAGGACAAATAACCTCCAGGCCCATTTGACGGCGATTATTTGTAATTAATCGAGAGCAGCAGATATTGTTATCACGATTAAAATATGATTAATCATGCAGCCCTAGAATCTAGTCATTTGTCAGAGTGAATATTTACCCGAAATCACAATATAGTATCTAAATTATAGGCATGACTGTGGGTTCTCATATTTTCAGATAAAAGGAACATTGTTTTGGAGCTTTTTTTATGGCCATGGTTGGGTTAACCAATGCATTTATGATTAACCATTATGACTTTCTGAGAATTGAAGAAACTCATAAAGTGACTTCAGTGGGTTTGACAGAAAGGGACAAGCCCAAACTGGTTCTATGGTGGTGTTGTCAGTGCCTGCAGAGGCATAAAGCTCCAAATGGCTGTGCCAGGCCTCCTGTGGACATGTGGTTTATAAGCAGAGGTGTTGCATGCATCCTCCCATGCACCATGTGTTCCGCCGATGGCGGCTCAAGGTTTCACACTCTCCCAGCCTGACCCGACTGCGCCACCCACTCACGGGAACCTGGTGCTTCCAGGTGGCTCTCATCGCCTGACAAGTCTACGTGAGATTCGAAAGGTCTACGTTTACTGTTGAAGTAGTTCATAGCGTATTAGCGTCATGCGCGCAGGTCCAGAGTAGCTAATTGATTCCTGCATTGTTGCGTTGCTCTCAAAACGGGAGAGTCTGTTGTGACTGTGCTTGACTTGCACATTTGCTGGAGTGCGATATAACACTCAATGGTCTGAAACAGTTGTGGCTTTTCCATTAATGAAATGGAAAATAAGAGTGAACATTTTCTGCTTTCAGCAAGTGTTAAATCCAGCCCAACAATTTGTAAAATTTGCCAGCATGGAGCTCAGGCAGTGTATTCCCAATTTTTGTATTCTAGGTAGACTGTGGCCTGGCCACATATAAATATAAAATTTCAGGAGTCACAACTGCATTTGAAATGAATCTCTTAAATGAAGACCACGTCTGACAGCACGCAGATACTGAATTGAGATCTCTTTCACATCGTCTTCTGCTTGAACAGACAATTTCAGACAAAATTATGACAAAATGACTGACTTGGCGAGTATACTAGTAAACAGTCGTTTTTTTTTTTTTTTTTTTTTGTTAAGTGAAAATAAAACCGTCCAGAGATAAAAAGCATGTGTACAGTATCAGTATATTGTATCCCTAAAGTGACAGCAGCCTAATATTCCTGCTAATGTCTGTGTTTTTTTAATGTTAATCAAGCAAAAGACTGACTGCAAAAATATCACTTCACAGAATAACTATAATAAGGGTTCATCTATATACTATTCAGTGACAGTGTTTTTATTTTTTTACATTTGATTTACTATCACCTAATATGTATCTAACTAACTACTGTTGTTAGATCTACCTGTAAAACCTGTTTATTTCATATGTATCTTTGTTCTATTGCTTGTAGTTTATGTTCTTAATTTGTTAGACTGTTTACTTAAATATAATATTAAATATAAAATATAGATTTCTAAAACTATTAATGTAGTTTTTTTCCATTTGTATTGTTCTGGCATTTCATGTAAAAAGTCTGGTGAGTAAGATACATTTACTAGCCAATGGTGACTTGAGTTCAGTGCATCAGTGGAGGGTTCATTCGTTGCAGTGTTGCTATGTCTACTAATTATAAGCATTTTGGCCATGTTGTTTGGACTTGGTGCAGGTCACAATACTTTGGTATTATTGAAAATATAAATCATTTAGATTTATTTTAGTTTTATTCTGGGCCGATTTTTGATTACTGTTTATTTTTGTAAGATCTGGCAATCAAAGCTCATACCTCTAACCCTGTGATTTTCTTGCAATCACTCTGGATACACACCACATAGAAATTTTGTAAGTGCTGTGACACTACCTGAATTTTAGTTAATTTGGTTGTAGAATGCAGTTCTCACTGATTACCGAACTGTGTGTGGCCTGCGGACAAAACAGTAATTACGTACTAAAAGGTGAATTAACAACCAAATGTTGTTGTTGTTGTTGTTATTATTAAATGTTGCATTAGATTTATATTCTTGCTGTAGTGTTGAAATGATGATGATGAAAATTATAATACAATTCAATAATTCAATTATTATTATTATTATATTATTAGCATATTTGCTGTGGCAATTAGTTTGAAATTCCACTGGTTTTGACTACTAAAAGTTTGGTATCTTGACAGCCCTATTGAAAATCGTCAAAGTCATATTGATTGCTCTTGCTGTCAACCCGTCCCTGTCAGTGATTGTTGATTTGGGTGGGTCCTTGACCGGTGCTGCCCTCGTCAGCGCCCGAGTGATTAATTGCCAAGTTTACAGACTGGACGCTCGGAGCGTGACCGTGCATTATGATCAGGCGTCTGCGCGCTGAACCCCTCCCTCAAAAATGACAAGGCCCTTCTTTTGCACCTGACCTGTCACTCACACCCATCTGTTCCTGTGGAGACAAGCCAGACAATCGCAAACCACAGGATCTGTGCCATGCACCAAACCACATGATCCCAGAGTGCATCTGTCACATGTTTCCCTGTTTTACTGCTCAGAGATCATGCTTTCAAATAAGTAAATAATTGAATTGATTTGACTTTATTGCTTTCTTCGGCTCGGTGGCACTTTTGTATCATGTTAGAGAACAGGGTAGCGCACTGCAATTTTGTGTAGATTGATTGCTCATTTTTTGGCCTCCAGCAGTTGGAACAAAGCTGAACCAGTACCAGTGTGCTGGTCAATTCTGTTTTTGAAGGTGCAGTACCATGCAAAATGTTAAATTTAAAGGAATTATATTAAATGTTTTAAACAATAGTGCATATTATCGATGTATTGTCTTTCTCTAATGAGTGACTCAGGCCCAGACCCTATACAAGTATGTGAACACAAACGTTACCATATCAACACAAGCGTATCAGATCAGGGTTGTTAGCCTAGATTTCATAGCATTTTATAAGGTGCACTACTGTAATGGCAGGATGAAGCGTTGAGCAATCAAATCTATATTTCTGAAAGAGAAATTCACAATACCAATGATAAATGGGATTTGACCTACATTAAAACGATCGAATACGTGTTGCTAAAAACTCAAAGGTTTTTTGTGACGTATTAATTGACCCTTCGCTAAGCCACGCCCGAAAACCGCCACTGGCCAATCATGTCTTAGCAACCGTAACTATGTGCGGGAGGTCTGGCAAGCTTTCGAACGAGGGAACATGCTGAAGCATTGTGCGTATGGATTGTGCAAATCTGATACCGGTATACTAAAAGTTTGGATGGGGGAGAGGAATTGTTTTCCTTCCAGAAAATCTAAAAGCCAAGGGGAGAAATGATTGGTGCGATCTAGCATATGTGCGAGACCCATTCTGGTAAATGTCGACATGCTTAACAAAAACACCTATTGCTTGGAAATATTGACGGTTCTTTGGTCATAATGATAACGTAAAATAAGACGATTAAAGTCAGAGACGAGACAAAGGCTCACTGACATTAAAATATATTTCAGCATTTTGTTAATCAACGTCCTACTAACGTTACCCCTTACTAAGTAACTTAACCCAATCCGATCGCGGCTCTCCCGGCATTAGTGTTATTATTCCACAAGATTTATTGATAAGCTGTTTGATTTATAATTATTAAGATTATTTTCACATACCCTGCTGTGTATGAACACAGCTGTTCCTCAATTTGTGTTTTCCATTTGAACGGTCAGCGTATGAGGCGCTGCTGCTTGCGCTGGGACTATAACGTTAGGCTTTAACTTCAATTTTTAAGAAATTATTCTCTAACCGGTTGCATATAATGTCGTGAATATATCCCTTGAATGCATACTGTAGTCCCTTTTGTCTTGCTCTCTCAGATATTTCACTTGTTCGCCGAAAATTACTAATTATCTCATTGGGAATGTCTGACACCGGGTGCATCCACACTATAATAGATGGGCCAGCCGCGAAAGCTTGACAGGCGTAGCAACAGTAACTAGGGAGGGCGGGGCTTAGCGAAGAGTCAATTGTAGTAGTCACCAAAAAACAGCTCATCACTAAGCAACTTTTTATCTTTTGTCAAATCAACTTAGATAATGTGATAAAGTTTCTGTTGATTTAAACTAATATTCTTCATTTTATTAACTCATTTTTTTATTTCAACGAACTCAACATTTTAAGGCAATTAGATAAAGTTAAACCAACAATAATTTTACAGTGCTACTACTAATTTCATTAGACAGCATTTTTGATAATAAATTTGTATTCAATCAATCGCGAAATAATATTATGGATTTTATAGTGCCTTAAATTAAAAGGTAGCTAGCTTTGTAGAGGTATACATAACAAACATGTTGAATGCTTCGCCATCAGTGGGATGAATTTTTGTGATGATATCGTTGGTCATATCGCCCAGCCCTGGGCAGTTTTGAAAAAAATCTTTTATCAACTTTAAGTCAATATATCAACTTACCTGAATACTAACACATAATGGCAACTCTAGCGACCCCTTGGCCTTGAGTACTGGCAGGCCAACGTAAGCGCTTAACACTCACATTTACGGATATACTTAAACTATGTTTGAGACCTGGGAGGTCACTTAAGGCCAAAATTAAGTGTTTCCTTCTTTTTGATGGCAAAGCTACCTCTCAATCATTAAATATTTAGGCTAGCGTTTTGCATATCATGCGTTTGAAATGATGTTTACCTCATACTGCGCAGATCACTGCATGCACATGCTGCTTCAAAACAAAGCTTAGCCAGTAAATATAAATCACTATTGAAACCGAGCAGCACAGAATAAAGAGAGAGGAGGGTGGGGGTAGGAAAGACCAGAGCAAGGGAGAGAGAAAGGGAGAGAGGCAGGGCGGGAAAAAGCCTGCTCAGTTGAGCAGTATTAACACAGCGTAGCAATTTCATCTTCCCAAACGTGATCTCCTTTAACAACTGTGAGCACTCAAATGCCTGTTGCCAGGTTACCGTCCAGCACTGTGAAAAGCGGGATTGTGTACGCGAGCAGCATGGAGAAGCGCCGCTGACTTGCGCCCATCTCTAAATAATGAATCACCGATGCATTCTGAATAGAGGGAACGCGATGAATAGGCGTGTGTGATTGGGATCGAATCCGCAGCTTCGGAGCCGGGGGAAGCCATGCAGCTCCAGTCTGCTGCACAATGCAAGGTGTCCGGCTTCATACTGAATGAGAGATGTGCCCAGTCTCCGAAAATGGAAGTCCACCGGTATGTACACACACAGGCTTCATGGGTTTGTTTTCCTTTGCAACTGTTGCATCATTAATGTAGCTCAAAGACATTGTTGAAATGCATGTTTAGGCTCACGTCGGTTTACTTTCTACCTCAATTTTGCTCTCTGGGATTGTGGGTTTGATGAAGCAGTGCTCTATTGTAATATTGGTGGATGCGAGTTGCTTTAGGAAGTGTGGTGTAAAATGTTTTCTGTAAGATTACAGTTTCATTTGCACTAATAGCTCCCTGTGGAATGGATAGGAGATGCACAAATTGGCCTATAAAACCAGTGGCAGGCTACCAATATTTGTGCACTGCAAATTCATTCATCAAACATTCATGGCTAGTTTATCCCATCGCACAAATAGGGTCAAATCAAAGTTCATTTTTTGTCTTAATTTTACCGTCATGGGGGTCTCAACTAAGTGAAATTGTTTTCTCACTACTGATAAGTGCTTGAAATTCTTTTGAAGGAAAGGTGTTTCCCCATGTGGCCACAATGAATGGGGTGTTTTTATAAACCATGCTGCCATGACTAAGTATCACTTATGACGTTCTTAAGGGGAGCCTCTATGCATCCAAACGGTTTGGTGTGAGAAGTCGCTGTGCATTCTTTGTGTGTGAATGGGCATCTCAGTGGAGGCAAAACAGGTCGCTGTCAGCACTCACCTGCTACTTTGTTAAAAAAGTAAATTGCATTGGTGTTTGCACAGTAAACACAGCATGAACCTGCTTTTCGGAGAGCCTCAGGTCATTCTGGAGGTGAGGTGTTGGTGGTAGCTTTTTCTGGAATGAGGCGTTTTTTTGCTGATGTTTATGTTTTATATACACTGCTGAGGAAAACCAGTAGGGCTGGTCCCGTTTTATGAGTTGGTGGGACTACTCTCATTCTTAAGATTTTTGTGTGTTTCTTTTGGGGTGAACACTATTGCTTTGTAAACATTTACTCCACTTTAAATGCAAAAAACTCAACAACATGTATTTATATAGATTATATTTTTCACATACTTATATAAACTATTTAATATGATTATTACGTTTATTTATATAAATTCCAACATATATATACACACGTTTCAGCTTTCCATGATCTTGTCAAAGGTCACATTAATTGATGTCAGCTTGAGGTCCAGTTGTAATTGGAAAGCTATTGTAAAAGTTCCTCATGATTAAAAAGAGGGTATCTCTTAGACTTCATAATGCCATCCGTCTGGCTTTACAACACAATCACGAACCTCTTAACTTTCCTACATGTCAAACTGTGTGGATTATACCCGACACACTGCTTAGATAGGGATGACAGATGGCAGCTGTCAAAGAGAAAATGTATTTAGGGTAGACTGATGTTTTTCAGTGACCAGTGAAACAAGGAAAAAATAAAGGAAGGCATAAATTTGTTCTGCAATAGATATTGACATTGTTGTAAATTAACATAGTGTCAGCCATCTTTTTTTGGAAGCTAAGCTAGCAGGCTCTTGTTCTGTGTAGAAGTCTGAGTAGTAGGGGTTACCATCCTCTTTTTCCCGGACATGTCTGGCCGTTGATGTCCGGGATTCAGCTTTTGCTTTCAGTAGTCGCCATTCATTATTTACATCGGGGTTTCTCAAACTCGGCCCTGGAGGGGTCCAGGTAGGTGTGTTTGAACAGGTTTGGAGCTAAACTCTGCAGGACAGTGGCCCTCCAGGACAGAGTTTGAGAAACCCTGGTTTACATGCACAGCTTTTGTTTCAATCTAACTGAATTAATTCTCATCGGTAAATCTGAATGTAGTGTTTACGTGAATGCTAAACAAGTGATCGGTTGATGTGCGTTTTAACATTTCTAAGAAAATTTGCGCTTCTTTGTGAGAGATAAAAGACCGGTGCGTCTCACAGGTGTTGCTCATTGCTAATAACGCCACCGGCCTCGCGCGGTTCTCCCATGGCCCTCAGTCGTCCTGCTCGCCAGTCGCCACAGTAAACATGACTAGCGGTGTTCTCCACACGGCCCTCACTCATCCTGCTCGTCACTGTAAACATGATGAATGGCGACTGTAGAACGCAAAAGCCGAATCCTGGACATTTTGAGCGATCTCGAAACACATTTTCGGGCAGACTCGGAGACTCACTAGTTGCCTAGACTTTCTTTGTTGTTCAACTACTGCGATAATTACCACCCCTACACTCTTAGAAGAAATGGTTCTATTTAGAACCAGAAATGGTTCCATCCCCCGCTTCATATATGGAACTCCAAAATGGTTCTATGTAGAACCATTTTTTGGTAAAAGGTTCTATTGGCCAAGTATGGAACCCCAGGGTTCTATATAGAGCCCAGAGGAACCCTTTTTTAAGAGTGTATAGAACCTTTTAGGGGTTCCACATACATAGCGCTGATAGAACCTTTTCTTCTAAGAGTGTACACTCTTAGAAGAAATGGTTCTATTTAGAACCAGAAATGGTTCCATCTCCCGCTTCATATATGGAACTCCAAAATGGTTCTATATAGAACCGTTTTTTTTTAATATAGAACCCAGAGGAACCCTTTTTATAAGAGTGTATAGAACCTTTTATGGGTTCCAAATACGTAGCGCTGATAGAACCTTTTATGGTTCTATATAGAACCTTTTCTTCTAAGAGTGTACCCTACTATGATGTCCAGACAAGTCTCAGTTGATTCACTAAAGTTAATGCTACGTTTGTCTGTATTTAATATTTGGCACATTTTTTGTTTCTGATGGTGCTGACCTTCTTTTTCTCTTCCAGATTTTGTGTTCTGTGTTCGTACTCAAAAATGAGTGAATTAAAACTATATTAGCACTCTGCTCTCATTTATTTCTGCCCTTTTTAAGTGTGTTCTTGTCCCCTTGCCAGTGGCTTAAAAGCAAACTCCTCTCACAAATAACTGCCCATGCAGAGAATGTCACCAGGGCTGTTTATACAGTGATGATGTCTCACATTGTCCTGCAAAGCATGGCATGAATGAATCCGCACCGGCATCGACCGAAACGGGTGTTCTGCGTGACTCATGGTTTGTGAGTGGAGTGTATTTTTTTTTAAGCCAGTTTTTGCAGTTTCTGTGGAGGAGGTGAGGTGTTGGCATCTCAGGGACTCTCCATCTCGACCGTGGAAGGAAGCAGTCACTGTCATTAGCTGCAAAGGATCATAGTAAGGATGAACAATGAACTCCAGGCTGAGAGTATTAACGTTTTTTTTTATATTTTCATATAACTCAAGATAGATTTGGGGATAGACCAGTTTACTGTCTATTTAGCGCTGATCATTCAATCAAGGCTTGTGCTAAAGAGGAAAACAAAAGGCAAGTGAAAAGCCTGAATGGCTCTGTACCCCCCCCCCCCCCCCTTCATAAAGATTTATTTTTCACAGTAATATGTAGGAGCTACACATAAAACCCACCCACGTACACAGTGTTGCTAAGGTGATGGCTTTAATTCCTCAGTCTATAAAAAGACCAAAAGAGAGCAAAAACACCAACGAGGGATTGTGACTTTATGAGGATGTCTCTCTCGACACCAGTGTGTGATCACTACGGAGTCTGAAATCTTTTGAATTGGAATGAAGATTGTGTCATGGATAGTATCCTCCTCAAAATGGAGGAAATTAAATGCAGGAAAACAGATACAAGTGCTGAATTTGTTGACATGCTGCTTCGTATAGTGAGTTCGACATCCTCCTCTTCCAAACTCCTCTTATACAGTCGCATAGGACGAGCAAAATTCATATTTCCTCACCTAGCCTGAGCACCTCTCAAAAGTGTTGGCTCACGCTTGTATTTATTTGAATGGGGTTCACTTGTAGACTAAAATTGTTATTTAAAGTAAAAAGGAGATTTCTCAAACGACTCGTTTTCAGTCTCAGTCTCTGATTCAGTCTCTCTAAGCCCCTTCCGCTGTTCTGAGAACTAGTCTTAACTTAACTCAACAGCGTGTGTCTGAAATGTCCATTACCAAATCTGAATGTCAGTTCCAGAGGCTTCCTGAATCCTCAACGATTGTACACACTGTAACGATGGCCTTGATTTGACCATATCAATTTGAGCTCGAGTCCGATGATGAAACATTTCAACCTGAACCTCCTTTAATTGACACAAAATGTAGGTAATACTGGGCCCACAGATGGTTGGCAGAACTATTTCAGTAAGACCGTAATAAGGTGAGATAGGCGGTTAGCCGGAGACCTACATCTGCACTGGGTCTACAAAACAAAACTATGTATTTTGAGCACTCGGGAGAAAATATTTACATGAATAATTAATCGTACTGAGTATAATTCAGAGGAGCAAGTTGGTACAGATAAAGTGGGGTACTGTCCCATCTTTTAATGGATCGTTTTGCGAATCCCGCGTTGACCTAGCCAAGAAGCAATCGACAGTAAAATGACCAAAACAAGAAAAAAGGTTATACTGCATTAGTATCGCTGTGGTCATTTTAACTACTGACTTAAAACTGGAAGTGTATACAAAGAGGATTTGCGTTGGCAGTGCAGAAAACAGCAGGTCAAAGTAGACAAAGTTTGTGGGCAGCCGATGAAAACCATTGACTGGCAATGGCATAATGCAAATTTGTTGCGTATGAATGTTACGCAAAGTGAGACTGGAATTACTGATTATGACTAGTTTCGGCAGGTCAGAATCGATTCTTTCTTTTGGGAGAAAATAACTTTATTTGTTGTGCACTTTGGGCTTTAAAACTTTAAAACAGCTGTACTACACACTGCATGAAAGGAAATATCTGAAAAAGCATAAGGGCACTTTAATCAATTGTTTCAAACCTGTAAGGCATTTTTTGTTAACACAATCTTTAATATTTTTAACACAAAAGGACATTTAAAAAAAAAAAATATATATTCATAGTTTTTCCATACCGTGCCAGTTCTTAGTGGAACGTCACTGAGGACTGCTAAAAATTCAGCTTTCCCATCAAAGGAATATCATTTTGTATGTATTGTATGTGTTATTTTTATATTATATATGTATGTATTTCAGTTCTATCATGATCT